GTACCTTACCTTTACTTTACTTACTTTACTACTACTATATACTAATAAGTATAGTATTACTACTATAGTATAGTATATATATATATATATATATATATATATATATATATATACATATATAAGACTAAAATACATTAAGTTATACAATACATCATGACATATAAGCTTGAATAACAAGTTAATACAGAACATAAGCTTTAATAACATCATGACACACATATTACAGCAATATACTGCTCTGACCAATGATTTTAATAGTATGTCAAACTATGACCTACTCTACACATGTTCAAGAAAATTAACTGTACTAATGATATATTGTTCTTAAAAAAAAAAAGTCTCTCATATGACAGAATATAGACATATTCCTCATTACTTCTTGAAAGAAAATTTAAAAAATTACTAGATAGCTGCTTTGAGTAGTTAAACCTAAAGGTATAAATCTTGACTATGACATCACAGGTCCCCACTTGTTTGTTTCCCATTCATCACCCTTTAATTCCTTGAGTTAGTTTTATTATCTTTAATATTTGTGGATTCATTTCTTTTTATAATTTTTAACAAAACTTTTAGTTGTCACTATTTATTATCTTTAACATGTTCTAATTTTTTCATGTGTAGTTTAGATTGACAATCCTCTATTACCTTGCACTGTATATTTTGTTAAGAGATGATTATTTCAAATGCATCTTGTTATTAGTTGTGCTTGTCTGTGTGTACAGAGTGAGGCAAAAGTAACTGAAAGGTCACATTAATCAGTGGCAAGAACATTAGATTAATATTTCAACATTACATTCTGACACTGAATAAAAGTCATAGATTTGTAAGTTGTTCACAATAACACATGTAACTCATTTAACATTTAACCTTGAAGAAAGAAGGTCCACCTTTCAGAAGTACTCCAGTTGAGTGTTATCTCTTTTTTTATGAGGTAATCACATTCAATTGTAAAATTAGAAATTGTAGAGGCAATTCCTATAAGTTAATAATTTACAAATGTTATTTTTCCTAAACTGTTCTGTAGTAGCACTTATAATACAAAAATTACAATTTCTATTCATATGGTGACAGATTAGTCAATATAAAGTTAAAAATGGTTTAACATTATTTAACTTTAAGAAATAAAACTTATAAAGATTAATATGAAAAATTACAGAGTTAAAATAATGATGTCTTTTTTGTACACAAGACATGGATAAAATACCCTTTTATGATCTACTTTGTCTTGTACATTCCCTGTTGATATATTATAAGCAATTTCTTCATGACTACTACAACGACGAATGGAGATCACATCTCCACTACTTGATCCCCAATCCAAAATACGTTCTTCAGAGTTTGACCTTGGACTTTTTGGCTTGTCTCCTGATGGTCTACGTTCTTTATGCTTCCTTTTATGAGACAAATGAACTGTGCAAAAAGTTAAAATATCATCACTCTATTTACTATAAATAAACACTACACTGATGCTAAAAAATACTGTTCTAAAGCAATTAAAAAATATTTTAAAGATGTACCAGAAGCCTACAAATCATATGAACATATAAAACCTTATAACAGATGGAAATATTCTCAATAAATTACACTGATCACACTAACTGGCCATTTTATAAGGACCTCTCTTTCCCAATAACATTTTAAAAACACTAGATTTTTTTCATATGCAAAATATACAACTGTCTGAATGACATAATATGAGTGCCCATCTAGTAAGAGCATTGATATTAACTCTCTCAACACAGACTCAGTGATTTGACCGACCAAGTGACCTCTTTGTACTCATTTAAAGTCTTTATAGATTTGATACTATATAGTATGTATATCTTCACAAAATTTGGAAGTCTTTCAGTAAACATTATAAGTCATGTTTTTAGTGAAGTATATTAAATAAACTAAAAAAAGATTTAACCATGAATATACTGAGTATTTGTTTTGAATTGTCCATGTGCAAAGCGATTTTCATGATGAAATTAAAAATACTTTTCTTTAACTCAAAAATATCAAATTTCATTTGTGTAATCTCTAAAACCTCCTAAATACATTTCAATGTTTGTTTTCAAGAAAACTTTATATTTTATTTGTTATTTTCTTAACCCTAACTCTATATGGGTTGGTCAATTTGATCAACCTCATAACCACCAAAAAAAATCTAAATAAATCTAAATTACCTTTTTCTTTCTTTCTAGAATGACTTCAAATTGAAACATGAAACTACATTCATTTATCCTAAGTAGCTTTAATCTTGTAATAGTATACATCTATTTATAATTAAATTTTATTGTTTTATTGCCCTTTGAACCATGTCTAACTACTATTCACACCATTATAAGTTTCACTTGGGTGATGTACAGCTCAAGTTATGCTATGAAATTACTTTAGCCATGAGCTGCTCGCATGCGTGCCTCATGAAACATTTTTATTATAATATTATCCTTATTATTTATTTTACCTAATCTAACCTTAACTAACATAAAAAGATCCTTATATTTACATTTTAGTTACTTTTAAAATAATAAATAAAGAATAAACATAAAAACAACAAATAAAGTACTTACCCAAGTATTCTTTTTTCTACTGTTGACTGTTGATGACACTTAACCCTACTTTTTTATACTAATGGTAGTAATGCACTAAATAATTTTTATTTAATTAAATAATGCAACAAAGAACATAGAATAATAACATGCAAAAAGCAGACAATTTTCCCAAACTATCATAATTTTTCTGGCTTTCTAACAATGCAACAAGAGCCATTACAAATTCATCCAAGCTAGTCGTTACCTTTCCCATGGGAACAAAGCTTGTACTAACAGAGAAATTGACAACTCTCCATTACGAAACAACATAATATAATACATCATTTGAAAGATGAAAACCTTGGCTTTCTATTGGTTATATATAATATATAATTAAATGTAAGAGAGAATGTGACAGGTGGGTATGGCAAGAGGGTTTGATTTTCTATTTGATGGCTCTGTAACCAAACAAAATTGAAGGCTATAAATTATTGATTGTCTAAGCAATGATAATTTGATAGTGAGCAATTTACATTTAATTTTGTACTTATTGGAGTGGTGGCGGATAAAATAGAGGAAAACAGCTAGAGAAAATGTATCATGCGTCACCCCAGGGGAAATTCAGGATTTTTTAAAATATTACCTTATAAAATTAAGAACTTAAAACTTATATACTATTAAAATATGGATTATTAGCTAAGATGTTATGATATTCTAATTGGTATAATGAAACAAAAAGTAGATTTATAAACTTTTGAATATAAGTCACTAAAACCTCATGACATGCACAGTAAAGGATGCCTGTGGCGATAGAGTTAAAAGCAAATGTTTTTTACCAGATGTTAAAAGACATCTGTCATCAGAGATTATTAACTGTGGCAAACAAAAAGAAATATGATTGCAGCTAGGAAAAGCTGGCTGCAAAACAGACAGTAACGGATTGAGGGATGAAACTAATAATCCAATTCTATATAAAAAAGTAGAAGATGGAAAACTGTGTCTCAATTGATCAATTCCTTCAACAGTGGTCAGAATCTCTCCAGCTGTTCCATGAATGATGGAACAAAAACTGTGATATACATGTGATTGACATAGTCTGGACTCATGCAAGATGTCAGAAGATGTTTTGATTTTAGCCCATGGTTTGCAATTGGATAAAAGATGTTTGGAGAAGAGTATAATGGTGAATTTAACATTTATGTACATCTTAAAAATCCTAATAGGGATTGATATCTGGAGTTATTGTCATGCTGTTTGAACTAATTTGATACAGTTCAAACAGAATTGGTCAGTGATGCTGAATCAGAGTAGAATAGATTTACTTACATGCTTTAGATAATGATGAAGAAAAATGCAAATATGTAGAAATATTCTCCAAGAGCCAAGTCTTTTTAACCAGTAGCACATTACAAATGAATTTCATGTATTAGTTTTTCAGATAATAGATATATATATATATATATATATATTTTTTTTTTTTCTGTGGTGAAACCTTGTGTTGATTGGCAACATTATATTTTATTTATAAAGTTATCCAAGAACTCACCCTGTTAAGAGAATGTTACCCACACAATTATACCACTTCTAATAGGGTACTTTGTTGAAAAAACACCAAACATTATAAACTTTTTCTCCAAATTTTTACTATATTTTTTAGCTACACAAAGGGTGAAATGCAGCTCATCAGATCATATCCCTTGTTGCTATTGGTTCATTGTCCATATTTTTATATTTACATTTGAGTTAAGTGTTTTTTTTAATAAGGAATTGCAGATTGGTAAGCTGTTGTTACAGTATTTTTGTGTTGTTCAGTTGTCACTGTATTGTAATCTGTATTTACTTTTTGTTTTAGTCAAGTGTTTCTTTAGATTTCAAATGCTATGTTTTTTCCAATAAGACAACTCATAATTACATTGATTGGGCATCTTACTAGAACCTTCACCTAATACTGGGTTGGACCACATTTTACCAAAATACACTTGTTCCCCAAAGACATAATTGGCTACTCTATGGCTAATGGTATTTTCTCCAACTCTAAAAAAGATTTTTTCATAATAACATACTTTGATAACTAAATCTAACATAGAAACCTATACACAGTAGAAAAACTAGGACAGTAGAAGCTAATTGGTTGATACTTTCATGATCAAAGTGAAATATTTGAAGCATATCATTAATTCGGTTTAATGTTAGTTTTCTTGTGGCATCATGAATGCAGGGAATTTTTGTTTTCCTTCTTGCACTATATGCTTCTAAGTGCATAAATTTCCTTATGAACTAATCATTAAACAGACAGCAATCTCCAAATAAAGCCAAATATCATCAATTCAGAAAAGTAAACCAACAAAAATTAATAAGAAAAAGATACACTTGCTTATATATTTTTGTGTTTTTGTTAAGTACAAAGCTACACAGTGGGCTATCTGTGCTATTTCTATTGAAACCCAATTTTTAGCATTATAAGTCTTCAGAATAACTGCTAAGCCACTGGGGGGCATTTTCTGTGTGTGGTATAATGTTTTTGCATGTTTTGATCATTTGTTCAAGCAAGCTTTGGCAAACTTAATTTCAACCAGTAAGACTTTTGTCATTTTACTTTTATTACAATCATTTTATGCAAGACTCTCTATGACAGAGGACTGAGGAAACTTCTTTTGTATAAAATGGAACAATTCTATTCTTTCCAAATTAAAATAAATTTGGGCCTACTTTCATACTCTTCATTACCTAGATTGTATGCCTAAAGGTTACATGCATTTTATTTTACTTGGCCTAGTCAATTACAACTACTTTCTTCAATAATACAAATTATTTCATATTTCTCTGTGCACAGTTACTGAATAATGTTAACATGTATCACATGCAATATTACTTGCAAAAAAAAAGGAATCTCTATTCAATTATATAAAAAGATCTCAACTAAACTCAAGTTTAATGACATTATTAATTACATAAAAGGATCGCAACTAAACTCAAGTTTAATGACATTATTAATTACATAAAAGGATCGCAACTAAACTCAAGTTTAATGACATTATTCAATTACATAAAAAGATCTCAATTAAACTCAAGTTTAATGACATTAATCAATTACATAAAAAAATCTCAACTAAACTCAAGTTTAATGACATTATTCAATTACATAAAAAGATCTCAATTAAACTCAAGATTAATGACATTATATGACCTGATGGGTAGTTGAATTCACAACTTCTAGAAGCAGATAAGAATTAATCATGAAGTAGGTTGTTTTAGAACAGAGAATGGCAGATAGAAAAATAAAATCAGGCACCACCATTTTGTTTAATTAAAAAGCATTCTACTTATTGCAGTAAACATCCATGGAAAAACTATACGTTATAAATATTATCATAAAACAAAATCATATTGAAACCTAAGTGCTTACATTAAGGTTGAGGCAATCAAATATAAACCATTGTCATGGTTAGTAGCCTATACTATCACCTAAGACTAATCATTAATTAATAATTTTTGTTTTATTATTGTTACTTAGATACTAATAATTTACTAACTAGTTTTTATCATACACTTAGGCTGCTAATCTCTTGCCATCTTCAGGTCTCCCTTATTAGAGATTAAATCTACTATTTCATTGTTTTCAACAGGGGTATCCAGATTTTGCTGATTGCATATGTTCTAAGTTGAGAGTTAAGTGAATATCAAAGGCTTCTTTTATCTTTCTTTCGGTGGAGTTCATTTTGACTGTTGTATTAACTATCTTCTAACATAGATTATTAATGTTACAAATTCTGTGTTTAAATTTTCCTATATCGCAAATGTATTGCCGAAAAACACTAACCTCCTCCCACACTTTAGCTTTATCCCAAGGAAAGATCTCTTCTTTGCCTGTCTAAGCATTGGTATGAATTCTACCTCGCATGCTCCAGTCTTTATACCCAACTATATTATTCCTAGTGATTTTAATCTTGTGACTCTCTCGACCTACGTCAATGTGCCCGCTACACCCAATCTGTATATAAGCTCCTCGTTATTCTTTCTTATTCACTTTTTTGAGGCTGGCAAGATTATCAGACCCAAACACTTTAGCTAGAATCCCACATTGACCAGGTTGAGGAGCCAGTGAGGGCAAGATCTACACAGAAAGCATCTGCATAGAAAAACAGCTGTGCAAAATTGAGATGTAATAAAGCACACTAGTGGGGTCCACACTACTTCTGGAACAGGTATGCTCTTCGCCCAGATAAAGTGAAATTTAAACGTGGGTAGTAAAGGCCAACTGGCTACAGAGTTAACATTGTTCATTATCATGAGATTCATCCAGGCCACAACCACACAAATGGAGTTCTACATCTTGTCGTTGAAATTATATCCAAGGTGTAGTGGCTAGGGCATGGGGACTGCAATATGATATAATTGTATAATAGGAATATAATATGAAGGGAAACCAACCTTAAAGTTTCAGAATGTTGCATGTTGAGCCACCAGAATTATGAAGAGAAGGCAAGCAACACCTAAGTGGACAAATCCTCACTCCAACCTGAAGAAGCACAAAATGCAACAAACCAAACTCGGAATTACAGAGCCAATTTACGCTTCACACAACCTAAAGAAATAGAAATCATCCAGCCTAGAATTACAAACTGAAATCCCCTAACTCCTCAACCTGGGAGGCGAGGCAACACTTCCTGCCGCTGGAATTATGAGGAGGATGTGGAACAAACAAAGTTCAACTAATGGCTTATAGACGTGAAGCTCCAAATGTGGAATTACAAGAAGTCAAGGACCCTCTTCCATGATAATGGAAAGTAAAAGAATGACCAAAAAGAAGGGCCACATTCTCACATATGGATAGCGAAATGTCATCTCTGAACTGGAATTACGAGGAGGCTCCCACATAGGCTGGATCGGCTCCCCACCAGACATCTGGGAAAAAAACCATCCAGGGTTAAGGATGGGAGGGGTATTCAGCTTCACCCTCTTCTCCGTGAAAGGAATAAAGAGTACAAACAACACAAAGAGAAGAACAGACCTCTGTCCACCACTCCAGCAACTGGAAACAACAGAGTGGTAAGGCTCCCTTGCTCCACTAGAAGAGAGGGAGGACTCACATTGGGGAGTCCTGAGGAAGGATGCTCCAAAGTCAGTGCATTAAGTGAACCAAGTTCCCTATATTGAAAATCAAACCAACCCTGATTTGTTCAATTAAGGGGTTATCAGGGATGGATAAAGTCCCTTTATGCTTTACTCATGATAATCCATGAGTGGCCATCCAGTATTGTATATGTGATATAGAACAATTGTTCACAACTCAGAAAGTGCCAAGGCAGTCTTATGGAACACCCCATAACAACAGAACTTGTTACCACAAATTTAGGATTTGTAAAAGGATATCTGACCATGCAAAACTCACCACTGAGTGGGATCCAAATAAGAATGACAAGAAGGTCCCTGAAAATAATAGCACAAAAGAAATGAAGTTACTCACCACTGGCACAATCAAGCTGGGATGTTTATAATAGCCACGGGGAGTACCTGAAACTCATAGAGAAGGAAACTGATAAATAATGTAAATAGTGCAATATAATGTATTAGATGTGGTCCACGTACCAGCCTGTATGATTTCCTACATCAGATGACACAACTAAGCTGCCAGGGACATCGATATAAGTCAAACTTGATGAGATGAAACCCTAAGAAGTCTCCAATCCTCCAATGAAAGACCACAGCAAGCTATCCAAACCAACTAACAAATCCAATTTGTCAAAGTGACAGGGTTAAGTCATTTGATACCAAAGGATCCCAATGGATAAATAACCAGTGGGATGAGCCCTGAAATGTTTCAGTGCATGCCACATAACATTGGAGAGCCTTAAAAAGGCATAAAAGACAATCTAAGCAGTCCTATAAATGAGAAATGGAAGGAAGATGAATAGAGAGAGAGAAAGCCTTATCTCCTACTCTAACTGTTGCAGTTTTAGGTACAGAGGACTTGTCTGGATACAACAGAATGTAGTTGGAATGGTACAGTATCCTATGAACACGAAGTGCAAACACATCTGAATGTCAATGCCAGGTAACCAATAGCAGAAGAAAATATGTTTTAAGTGAAAGATGATATAGTGAACATGACCCCAAAGGTTCAAAAGGTGGACATGATAATGCATGGAGAACCACTGTGATATCTCAGTTAGGAACCTGGAAAGAGCAACGATGACTGATAACCCGAAATGATTTCAAAAGTAATGACAAACCTGGGGACTCAAAAACTTGTATTCTCTTAGAAAAACGAAAAGTAGCTGATAAGGCAGTCTTATACAAGGAACAGACAAAGATGCCAAACCTTTGTCATTTCCTTTGATAAACTTCCAAAGAGGAATGCCAAATGGAATGTGCTAATAAGGATGCCACTTGAGATGTCAATCCCTGAAGTCGTGCAATGGACCATATAAAAGCCAAGCGTGAAGTCAAATAACACTGACTACTGGGTGAAAAATTTCTGACCAGGGCTGACATAAGAGAGATGGTCAAGGAGGAAGGGGAAGAGGTTGACACTGCTGAAGATACTGAAGGAGAGAAAACCAGAACTGACCTGGCCAATATGGTGCCACCAGAAGCACTCAACAGGACATGGAGTAAATCAGTGCCAGAACTTTGGAGAGCAGAAGAAAAGCATAGAGATGAAGACCTGTCCAATCCTGACTGACAGCATCTACTCTCAAAGTCAGAGGGTAAGGTACTGGAGACCAGAACGACAGGAGCTGAACATTCTAATGTGTAGAAAAAGCCTCAATCTGTGATGTCCCAAGACAAGAGCAGATCCAACAAAAAACTTGAAGAAAAAGCATCCATTCCATAGGAAGAGCTCTGCTGGGGCAAGATAATTGGTCAGCCACTAGATTCATTACCCCTGGAGCATGACAAGCAAAGAGAACAATCTAGTGCTTGTGTGTCCAAAGGAGAAGATTCACTGGTCGAAAAAAGACAGATCTGGAGTGAGTGCTTTCTTGCTTTGAAATATACGCGAGCACTGTGGAATTGTCCAAATGAAGAATTACCAGTTCCCTCAGAACAAAATCGAGACCCTGAGTTATAGCTAATTGAACTGCTAAAAGTTGTAATAGATTGATGTGGGGAGAAGCTTCCTCTACTTTCCAAAGTCCCTTGAATTCCATATTTTCTATACGAGCACCCTAGCCCTGAAGAGAAGTATCTGTGAACAGATGTATATCTGGCCATGAGGGTGGTACAGGGATACCTACTGCTGTGTTGTCCCTCTTCAACCAGCAGCTGAGATCCAGCAAACTGGAATTCAACAGTATTACTGGACAATGCAGCGCATCTGTGCAAATGTTCCACTGATTCCGTAACAACCACTGAAGGGCTTTCATGTGGACTTGACCTAAAGGAATGAGTGATTCCAAGAATGCCCACATCCCCAAAAAGAGATAGAACTGTGTGTGCCTGTGGAGAAGAAGACAACTGTATTTGAAGAAATACCTATTCCATGGCTTGAAAGAATAGAAAAGAAGGTTGGGCCTGGCTTAGTCTGGAATGGGAAAACACCCCTAATTGGATGACGTACTGTGTCGGAGTAAGAACAGATTTCCTGTTTTTGATAAGAAACTCTACTTTTGCAGCTTCTGATAATAGGGTTTGAGTGTGCAGTTTTGCCAAAAAGTGAGAAGAAGCCAGTCATCCATGTAATGGTGAGTGTGAATGCAGAATGAAGATGATCTGAAAAAGCTATAACTATCTGGCAAAAAACATATGGAACAGATGCAAAACCAAATGGTACAGCATGAAACTGAAAAACCTGTTTGCATGAAACAGAGATAACACCTTCAAGACTCTGTGATTGGGATATGAAGGTAGGCATATGCAACATCAAATTTTGTCTTACATAGTCTGGGTGAAAAGAGCCACTAAAGGGTAAAAAAGAGGAATTGATTGAGATGAGAAAAGTCTACGACTGGTCATCAATCACTCATCTTTTTCAGTCCTACAAACAACCAAGAATAAAATCCCTTGACAGAGAAGGTGATGCACTCTATGGCCCCTTTGTGCAGAAGATCGTGGAGGGATTTTGCATGATAATAAGAAGTTAGAGGGTCCTTGAGGAGTGGAAATCCAACTGGTATGAGAGACAGAGGAGTAGGAGACTTGAACTTAATCACTAATCAGCTCCTGAGAACTTGAATGACCCACTTATCTGTGGTGAATGTCTATCATACTGACAAGAACCCTCTGAGATGAGACCCCACAGGACCTAACACCATAAGGTAGTCACTGATAATGAAATCTGTGCTCCACTCTAGAGGAGGATCCTCGCTAGTAAGATCGAAATTGCCCTTGTGTTCTAATGGATTGTGGCACTAAAGCAGGAGGTCTGTAAACTCAAAAGGGAGATTTAATAAACCATCCTGTAGAAGAATTTTTGGACAGTTGAGAAGCTAGTGTAGAAAGTGAAGAATATAGATGGGCCACATCTACTCAAGATTCCATGGAGTTCGGAATTCATGCAAAAATAGACTGAGAAATGGATCTTCTCTGAGATCTCTAAGGGCTGATGTAGGAAGACAAACTCTTTCCATTAAGGCATCTCTCTCCAAAAGATCCCAGGAACAAACCAACCAAGATACCAAGGAAAGTTTGTATGTTTGTGTAAAATTAAGCACAAAGCTACACAATGGGCTATCTGTGCTTTGCCCACCACAGATACCAAAACCCAGTTTCTAGCATTGTAAGACTGCATACATACCGCTGTGTCACTGCAGGGCACCAAGGAAAGAGCAGAAGCCGATAACCTAACCAAAGTGGAAGTCAATAAATGACTAAGATCCTCCAAATTTGAGCAGGGGATCTATGTTGTAAGTGACAGATGAATTCTGGAAAACTGAGATTGATTAATATTAACAGTGGTATCTTGTCTAGAGCCCCAAATAGGAAGTAGAAGGTCTAACCTCTGAGAGTTCAAATAAGGATTATCCATATGATGGAAAGCCAAGACATGCTGATCCAATAAATGAGGAGGAAAAGGCATGGCAGCACCCTCCCTCAACTGATCTGCAAATCTCCTTACATGCACAGCAATGTCTTGTGAAGGTGGAAGGACCAGGTAATCATATGAACTAATTTCTCCCAATAAAGAATGTGAAGATTCATAAACCACAGGAGGGATACTTAAACCATTACAAACAGTACTAGCTGTAAAAAGGGTGCAGGAGGCAGAATGTCCATCCAAGATTCATGAGTAGCTGGTTGAGCAAAAAAATGTGCTGGAAAAATAGAGTCTCAATTCACACTAGTCTACCTTTGATCTTCCACAAACTCATCCTCAGAGCCAACACGAGAAAAAACATCAGACTACATGTAAGACTCTAGCTCTCTGTGTATACGAGAACTGTGTATCATTTGCAAAAGGTGACCCCTGCCCGATGCCCGGGTAACATTAGACTCGTGAGGTGGTAGAGGAGGGACATCAGGCGACTCTGAGTCTGAGACATGAACACGAGTATTCGTATTAAAAAAATGTCTCAAAACAATTTTTTTTATTGTAAATTCAAGAAAATAAACAATAAACTCAAGCCTCATGAAAAAGATCTAAAATAATTCCAAAGAAAATGCTGATGGGAAACCCACGGTAAAGACGTAATACTGTCTTCATAATTTTTGTCGTAGAGAACAAGTGAATAATAAATAATTATAGGGAGCTTATATAGAGCTCGGGTATAGAGAGCGCATTGACCTAGGTGGAGAAAGTCACTAGATTAGAATTACTAGGGACGGTTTAGTGAGTTATAAAGACTGGAGCTAGTGAGGCAGAATTCATATCAATGCTCAGACAGGCAAAGAAGAGAACCTTTCATCAGAATAAAGCTAAAGTGGGAGCGAAGGAGAGTGTGTTTCAGAATTTATATTTATTTATATGGTGATATTTGATCTTATCTTCAATCAATGTTTTACTAACTTCCAGAATTAGTCTTTGATATTATGGGGTGTTGACAGGTAATATACTTCAAGTCCTTTAGGAATTATGTTGTTTATAGTTATGGAGGAAAATAGAGTAGTTATTTATTTTAACATTGGACTAGTAAAAAAATTACTAATTAAGAATTAGACATAGGTTACTATATAGTTTACTAACCAAGATAACAATAGTACAACATGTAAACCATCAACCATGATTACAAATATTTTGAAGAAATAAAACTTTAAACCACCTTAAACATGTTATATGCTAAATTACATATACTAGATATTTTATATAAGGTAAAACCATAAATAAAAATGTACTTCAATGCCAAGTGTGGATTAAAATAAGCCAAACTAGTAATAGCATTAGTATTACAGGGAAAAGCAGAACACTGAATTTTAACATATTGGTTTTAGCTAATGTTGTGAAAATTACCCTAGAAATTTCAGATTTTTCACTTAATGGTATAATTATCGTGCATTAGTTTTATCATATACAACAAAATTATGATAATGTTTTCTTTAATTGTGTAAAAAACGTACAAGCAACTTATTTTTAAGTAAAAGAATTTCTTTTGTTTAGCTTTGAGCTAAAACTTGTTAAAATTGACAATAAGCTTAATGATAAAAGATGAAACTTTTTAGGCATAAAAAGCTAAAACTAATCCCACAGAAGAATAAAATATTGTTTTTATATTCTATTTATGGAAGTGTTTATTAAATCACTTAGAAAAAGACATTTTTTGTTGTTTTGATGATTTTCTTCATTCACTTCATTAAAAAATAAATAAAAAAAGAGTTTATCAAAAATATGTTACTTCAGGGAATAAAATCTACATCAATTTACCTGTCCACAACCAAAGTGGGGATCTGTTTTTCTTGGGCAATATATTTCTCCAAAGGGGGTATAACAATAGACAATGGTTCAAATGCTACAGAGGGGCTAACTGGAGTTGAAATAATAGACAGTGTCTAAAAAAAAAAAAAAGAACACATTTGTTATTAAGCATATTTCACAATTCTGCAATTCTAGTAATACTATAAATAAGCAGTACACCCAAATAAAAATAATAATCCTTTAACTCTCTCAGAACGAAGTCTGTCAAATCGACTGACCTTGTAACTACTTTTGTACTCATTATAGTTTCTATACTGTAACTTTTAATACAATTGGTGTATCTTCACAAAATTCGGCAGACTTTTAGTAAACACTACAAGCCTTTTATACACAAAAAATCAGATTTTTCAATGAAGTATTTTTACTAAAGATTTCTCCATGAATCTAGATAGTATTTCTACATAGTGCTAAGTGATTTTCATGTTAAGATTAAAAATACTTTTCTTCATCTCAAACATTTCATATTTTATTCATAGAATCTCTAAAACCTCCTAAATACATTTTAAATGGGGTTTTTTTCTGTAAAACTTTAAATTTTATCTGGTATTTTCTCTATCTTAAACTTTATACGAGGTTGGTCAATTTTACTCACCAAGTAACCACCAAAAAAAATTGAAATAAATCTAAATTACCCTTTTTTCTTTCTAAAATGGCTTCAAATTGAAACCTGAAACTACATTCATTTATCCTAAGTAGCTTTAATCTCGTAATAGCACATATCTATTTATACTTAAATCTTATTGGTTTATTGTCCTTTGAACCCTGTCTAATTACTATTCCTGCCATTATAAGTTGTAAGTCACTCAGCAAATGCAGCTCACGTTACGCTATCAACTTACATTATGCACGAGCTATTTGTGAGTATACCTCATAACAAAATTTATTATATTATTATTGTTATTATTTATTTCACCTAATTTAACCTTAACTAACATAAAGTTTCCTATTTTACACTTAGTTATTTTGATAATAATAAATAAAAAATATACACGAAAAAAAAGAAAAAGTACTTACTTGGGTTTTCTTTTTTTTTGCTGTTGACTCTTGATGACACTTAACCCTACTTTTTTATACTAATGGTAGTCCTGCATTAAATAGTTTTTTATTTAATTACATGATATGCCAAAAAACACAAAATAATAATGTGCAAAAAAAAGCAAACAATGTCCCATAACTATTACAATTTTTCTGGCTTTCTAATTGTGCAACAACAGATGTTAGGAATTCAGCTAAGCCTATCAATGTGTTTACCATGGGAATAAAGATAAAACTGGAAGATAAACTGCCAATTCTCTGTAGAGAAAACAGCATAATATAATACATCATTTGATAGATGAAAACCTTGGCTTTCTATTGGTTATAAGTAATATAGTATTGAATGTCAGAAAGAACTGGTGGCAGTTTCTGAATGACAAAATGTGACAGATGGGCATAGCAGGAGGGGGTCTTGTTGTCTCTTTCATGGCTCTGTAACCAAATAAGATTGAAGGCATCACCTGAGTGATGATGATATTATAATAAGTAATTTATGTTAAATTTCGTACTTCTTGGAGGGGTGGTAAATAAATTAGAGAAGAGGAGATGCCTAGAGAGCAAATGTCACAATTCTTACATTAGGAGAAATTCGAATTTTTTTTTTAATATTGCCTTATAAAAGTAAAAATTTAAAACTTGTATACTATTAAAATAAGGATTATTAGCTACGTTTTTATGTTATATTTATTGGTATACCATGAAAATAAAGTAGTTTAATTCAATTTTGAATGTAACTCACTAAAACCTCATGTGCAGAGACAGAAAGCCGTGGCGAGAGGGTTAAAATCTAAGAAATGTATGCCCAAGAAAACGTGTGTTTATCACATTCTATACAACTGTATGGAATTTTTTACATTATATTCTGAAAACTATTTCTACTGATAATAATAGTTTAATAAAAAAAACATCTGTAAGTTACAAAACTAACCAATTGCAAGTCAGTAGTTTTTTTTCAGTTATGGTCTTTCTTATTTTAACTTATACAAAGACACCAAAAATTCAACAAAATTTTTAAGACCTATATTTGCAATAAAATAGAATGCTATAACATCTTTTTGTATTTAAATTATTTTCCAAAATTAAATTAAATGCTCAATAAAAATAAATATATTTTTCCAAATAATTATTAATTTTTTAAGAGCATACCAGGTCTTGGCTAGTGATGCCTTTCAATCAATGGGCTCAGTCATATGAAGTTAAGCCTTATGCCATTTAGATATGACCAAGTGGTGTAATCAAACCTTAAGCAGTGTTATCCATGGTTCTCAAAATAAGTTATGAGTATACCTAACATATACCAAAATATCTTTGGTTTACAAGATTTTACATGCTCATTATCTGGACTGTTCCATAGGAGTTCTCTGCCTCCATCTCACCAGAGAAGCATCCAAAACAGATCCTATCTAGGTGAAACACGAACTGCACAGAGCATGCCATTTGGTTTTTGAGTGAAAGTATCCTTTAGGATATCAGAATCAGCACACAACTTTGGGAGCATGTTTTTTGATTGAACTGCAACCCTGAAGAAGCATCCAGAGATAGAGATAAAGGCGTCTACATGATTAGCATGGGAGCAAGATCTAACCCCAGCTGCTGACCTGCTGAAACATCAAATGTTTTGTAGCAAATGAAGCTATTGAAAACTGAAAAGTGAAAGAAATATAATTCTGATTTTAGTAACTTCAATCATGCCAAGAACACAACCCAGACCTAAATTGGAGTGAAAACTCTTACACATGAAACATAGCCACCACAAAAAACAGCCATAACACATGCACTGACTTTACAAAGAGAATAACAACTAATAAAGATTGATGATCTATAAAACTGCATGCTTTCCTTGGAAAGAAAGCAAGGTATGATCAACAGTTTCCTGAAGATTCCTTTATATGCAATGCCTGTCACAGAACATTCATGAAGCACAAATATGTTAAACAACATGATGGTCTAGATGTCACTGCACATGATGAAGCATGCCCTAACTAACCACTCAGAAGTTTGAAATAGATACATCTGTTCATAACACAGTCTTATTTGACACATGGAAAGTGTTTATTCAAGAGCTAAAATATAGTCAAGCCATCCTAACCAGATAAACATATATACATGGCAAAATATCTCACAAATCAAAGTGTGAAATTCAAAGTACTTACAATAGCTGGTTTCAACAGAAGCAATATTCTTGATTTATTAATTGTTATGTATGAAGCATTGGAAAAAGAGAAAACTTGTGGCATTGCTTCTTGATAATCATACACACACACATTCAGGATAGCTTGAATGGTTGCGATAAACAAAAATCCAACAGGAATCACAAAGGATCAATTTTGTTAACTCAAATGTTATGATAAAGACATAGAAAAACTACTAGCTGTTCAGCATGTTTGGCACTTCTCCTAAACAATAAAAAGCTGCATACAGGTATGTCTTTCTATGTTCTTGGTAAATTTCAAATAGTGTTTGAACATCATCATTAGAGGAACTTGAAGTGTGCAATTATATCATGATTTGTGCCAAACATCTTAGTTTAGAACATATGTCCAAGGAACAGTTTACAGAGGATCAGAGAAGAACGCTTGTGAAGCATATACTGTCATGTGGCAATAAAAATGTTCCAACAACAGAGGCTGATGGAACACAGATTTATACAAAGAAAAGTGGCAATTACATCTTCCACTGCCACTCATTTAGCATGAACAAATATAGGCTGCTACTAAAATCTATGGTAGTATCTGGAGCCAATGAGAACATCCTTGAGGTTCTGTGGCTATATTATGTTGATGGACACAACAATGATGGCTTCATTCTGGACAGCCATTTGATGAACAATATTGCTGAGTTGCAATTATGGCTACATGAGAGGGATCTCATCATCACTGACCATGGCTTCAGAGACACCATGGGTTAACCAACCAAAATGCTTGATTTTTCCACCACAGAATTCAAAGCATAATACAACAATGGAAGCAAACAACTTGGGCCTCATCACAAAGATGAGATGATTTGTTAATTATGCAAAGGACCATATTAAAACATGGATAATGTTGACCAGGTGAAGCCAAGTTCTCAGATCCCATATAATGGTAATGATGTAAACACAGTTTGTGTAATACACTTCAGGCTCCTCTGAAAACTGATTCTGCAGGTGATGATTTATAGAAGAATGATTTTACTGTTGCACACACCCAATGACATGCAGCATAGAGTACAAAGATATCATCAACATCTCATAAAATGGACACCATGGATATCAGTGAATGATGATGCTTAATGAATATTCAATGAATGTTGGACTAGCAATTTCTATGTCATCACCCAAGGTGTTTACCAACAAGCTTGTGATCAGTGGAACATATATCTTCAAAAGAAAACAATCCAGATATGCAAAGTCAAATACATACTCATTATTTGTATTATATGACAGAAGCACTAATGCCATGTAGCCAGTAATATCATGATTCTGAATATCAAGGTCTAGAGCTAAAATGGTTGGATATTGTGCCTATATTGACTTTGTCCTGTAATATTTATGGCTAGAATGGTGAGATGTTGTGTCCATACTGACATTGCCTTGTGGAATTTGTGACTAGGATGGTGGGATGTTGTACCAATACTGCCTTTGTCCTGTAGTATTTGGGATACAAAGACAAACATTAACCTCAGTGACATTTGCTGCAACACATGGAGATCATGGTTAAAATTCAGACAACCAGAAAGATCAAGATAGTTAAATGATTGTCAGTCCATGCCTTCATGGCTAGACCCATCCACTTTCTTGGACTGGGTCATAAGGTGAGGTAGTGCATGTTATTTTTCTTCATAGGACACATGACAATACTTTTATGAAAAATTATATTCAATTTATGCACAGGCAAAAAAAGGCCTTTGTGACAAACTATCCTTTGGCAAATTTAATCAATCTATCAGAGCAGTAAACTGGTTCTATCTTCTTCTTACTATAATGGATGTAGCGTATATGTCAGTATTTATGTATGTATCGAAAACTACACAAAAGTCTTCAAACATCAACATGTTGATAATATTGATGCAGAGATCAAATATTGATTGATTAAAGACTTTTCTGTATTACTAGGGTGTGTTTTAAACTTATAAGAAGAGAATCCAATAAAAAAATTGTGCTGAAATACAACAAGATCTTAATGCCAGAAGTGGTGATTGAGTCCTATGAAATGTGGCGCCATCCATTGAATGGCACCATAAACAAAAATCCATAAAATAATTCACTCTTTGGGTATTCAAGATTCAGACAATTTGAAAAATAACTATGGTATGTGCAATAACTATTTCTTTATAACAGAACACAATCTTAAATAAAAGTACTCTCCCACACAACAAGAACACGACTTTCACTAGGACTGTACATGAGGGTTGGTTTATATCTTTATTGATCTAATATTTAGATGTAGTACTAAAAAACTGGAAATATAACAAAAACTGTTATTTTTTCAATAAAGGGTAGCAATTTTAATATATAGAATCATAACTGTTTATATCAGTAAAATTTGAGCTCTATACATTGAATCATTTTGATGCAATAAATTGCACAAACCGAACACTTTTCCCATGCAGTACTTTCCAGAAAAAAATACTTTTTAGAAAATGTTCACTTTTTTTACAATTTTTTAGAATTAGATATGAATACTATGATTAGTAATTACTAGCACAAGCAGCCACCTGTAGGGTGGCATTTCTACTAGTAAAATTAATACAAGTTGCTTATAAACTAAGAATAATTTAAGACACAACAACTAACCTCACACAGGTTATTCTAAAACAGCAATAGAATGAACATAGGACAAGATACATACAAACATAAAAAAAATTGACTTCTTAGCAACTGTCTTTTTCAGATGCATGTGAAATTTACACTGTAAAAACACAGATCATTATTAAATACTTACAAGATATATTTCATTAAAGTGTGGTGATTACAAGAATCCAAAAAGTAAGTGACATACATAAAAATTTTAAAATAAAATGTATCCTTGTGAATTAAAGGTCAGTAACTCTGTAAGACCTCTACAATTAGAGCCTTTGTAACAAGTTATTTTTGACATCTGTTACAAAATTTTACAAGGAAAAAAAAAAGACTAACAAATTGATCTATCAACTCCAAGTAATGACTGTTAAAGTGAATACTTTTGGGTTCTCATATATAACATCAATCATATGCTTTTTATTTTTGATACATACAGTATGTTTCATTTTCCCCTCAATAAATACACTTCAATTAAGACATTAAATAAACTTATTTTATAGTTAAGCTATTATTCACTGTAATTTATCTTTTATACTTATTTTCAGACTTGAATCCATATATACAAAAGTGAAACCATACACATCATACAAAACCCAAATTAAAGTGTAGACATGAGTGTAATCACAAGTGTAAAACCTATAAGGGTTTTCTTTATAAATGCTTGAGTTTTAAAGTATCTTTTGTGTTACAGTTTCACAGACAAATATTAGTAACACATTTAATGAAAAAACTTTGATCAAACATTTTAACCACAGAATTACACAGCTTGAATGCCCAAAATGTTAGTTCGATCACTTCATCTACAGTAAGTAATATACTGTGCATGACAGTCATCTGATTAGGTGATATATGTTTATAAAGTACTTAATACTCCCTTCCAAAATATTTCACTTTACTTTAAAAAAAAAGTAAAAAGCTGAAATTTAAGAGGTACATTTTTTTTTCTACCTTTACTTTGTCATCAATCTTTTTTTAATGTAGCATTGTTGTTTTTATGAAACTGTTTTGTTTTATTCTTTGTTTTATTTATTTCATAATAAGCTGTCACAGCCTTTATAAACTTTACACATAATCTGCAAAAGTAAGTACTCCTTCATTATTTTAATTATTCTTATTGCTTGAAAGTAGTTTAAATTTTATCCTGGAAAACCAGCTAATCTAAAACCTTTAACAATCATGTAAATCTACCTTGGATTTTTCTGAATCTGTAGGAGCCAACAGCTTTGAAGATTTTTTCTTTATCTCCAGTGGTTCCTTCTCCTGCTTTGTACCTGAAGTCTTTGGAAAATAGACTTCAGAGTCAACATCAAATATCGCATAATAGTCAGTAATAAAATATCCAATAACTTGGCTAGTCACTGATTGATCTTTAATGCCTTTCATATCATCAGAAAATCTGTAACAAAGAAATATCAATTTCAGCAATAATGGTAATATTTGTGAAAACATTATAGAAATAACATCTCAAGATTTTTCAAATCTTTGATGCCAAAGAACAAATGAAAAACAAAGTGAGTGTAAAATGTAGGGCTGTAATGAAGATCTAACTTCTGATAGTACTACTTTGCATAATTTACCAGTGACCATCACCACAGCTACTAGTTTATATTAAATTGAAAATTCTAATATCTTACAGGTAACAGATATAAATGGAATAAAAGAATCACATGTAGTTTATACAGAACTGTAAACATGTTCTTATGACTTAAATAAAAATAAAAACACATTATTTATGTACACATGACTGATGTCGCTTGCAATACTCATACAGTAAGCTTGCATTGCAGGGGCTCAACCATAACTCTTCTCTCACAAGGTCTTGTACACTAGGTATTCAGTACATATTTTACTAAAACATTATAGCCACTTTAGGTACCTCCCCAGTGACATAATATCCTGCTTCCTTGCATGCAGTGGTACCATAAAGAAATGCTATGTATAATGACTTGGTATATAATAAAACAGCTTCTGTTTGACTCTTTCGACATGAACTCAGTCAATTTGACCAAACACATGACCTCTTTGTATTTGTTTAAAGTCTTTATAAATTTCGTTCTTTTAACTTTCAATATAGTGTGTATATCTTCACAAAATTTGGCAGTCTTTCAGTTAATATTATAAGTCTTTCACATACAAAATATAATATTTTTAGTGAAGTATTTTTAATAAAATAAAATAAAGATTGTCCATGAATATATTGAGTATTTGTTTTGAATAGTCCGTGTGCAAAGTAATTTTCATGTTAAGATTAAAAATACTTTTCTTCCTCTCAAAAAACTAAAATTTCACTGGTGTAATCTCTAAAGCCTAAATACATTTCAATTTTTTATCTGTTATTTTCTCTACCCTAACTCTATACAAGGTTGGTCAACTTGACTGACCTCATAACCACCCCCCCCCCCAAAAAAATAAAAATAAATCTAAATTACCATCTTTTTTCTCTCTAGAATGACTTCAAATGTAGTTTGAAACTATATTTGTTTATCCTAAGTAGCTTCCAACCCATAACAGTGTACAGCTATTTATAATTACATTTTATTGTTTTATTGCCCTTTGAACAGTGTCTAACTACTATCTCTGCCATTATAAGTTGTAAATCACTCAGGAGAATGTGCATCTCATGTTAAGCTATCAAATTGCATTACCCATGAACTACTATGAGCTACTCACATTTTTATTATATTATTATTATATATTTTACCTAATCTAATCTTAACTAACCTAAAAAGATCCCTATTTTTACATTTTAGTTACTTTTACAATAATTAAAAAAGAATAAAAATGAAAAACAAAAATAAAGTACTTATCTAATCTTATTTTTTCTTGCTGTCAAATTTTGGTGACAGTTAATGCTACTTTTTTTATGGTAGTAATGCACTAAATATTTTTTATTTAATTAAATAATGCACCAAAGAACATAGACTAATAGCAGGCAAAAAATAGACAATTTCCCCTAACTCACCAAATTTTTCTAGCTTTCTAACTATGTGACAAGAGTCATTACAAAGTCACTCAAGCTAGTCATTAACCTTCCCAGGGGAATGAACTGTGTATTATACATGAAATTAACACTTATCTGTTCAGAACACATTATCAATACATCATTTGAAAGATGAAAACCTTTGCTTTTTTTTGGTTATAGGTAATGTATAATTACACGTAAAATAAAACTATTAACAAAACCTGGAAGAGAGGTTATGACGGGTGGGTGTGGCAGGAGGGGTCCAATTTTCTGTTTGATAGCTCTGTAACCAAACAAAATTAAAGGCAATAAAAAATTATGGTTTGTCTGAGCAATGATGATTTTATAGTGAGTAATTTACGTTTAATTTCATAGTTTGGGGGGGGGGTAAAATAGAGATGAGAATATACCTAGAAAAAATGTGTCACGTGTGTGACACTAGGAGAAATTCGGGTTTTTATAAAATATTGCCTTGTAGAATTAAGAACCTAAAACTTATATATTATTAAAATATGGATTATTAGCTAAGATTTTATGCTATACTAATTGATATAACAAACAAAAAGTAGTTTAACAAAATTTTGAATGTAAGACACTAAAAACTTGTGTCATGCACAGTAAACAATACCCATGGTGATAGGGTTAAGTAATAGGAATAATACAAATCAAGAAATCAAATTGTGTACCTTCTGTCAAATTCCTGGCTAGCAAACAAACCTTTGACCACAGCTCGAGTGAAATTAAAATCAAACCTACAAAATTGATCTTTTAAGCAAACTTTTTTTTATACATAAAACATATAAAAAGAACAATATAGTTTTCACTAATAATATATTCTTTATGAAATTTATACTGAATTTATACTTTAAGTCATCAGAAAATTAATAACAAGAGAAACAGATTCTTCTTACAAAATTAATTTTCACATTGATATACTTTTTATGCATATACCCAAAAACCTGAACATCAAGGAAGGAGAAAATGACTTTATATTACTTTCCAGGTACAAAGACTAAAATTTTTCTTCCTGTTGCTCTTTTTTTTCTTCTATTCCCATTCACCATCATATAGTTTTCAATAAAATTAGATATTTCATCACTACAACATCCATACTGTTTCCTATGATGTTACAAGTATAAATGTTCCATTCTGTTTTACAGAATTTAACACGGGGCAGCTTGATTTGATTGCAGGACCTCATTGTGAGAAAAGTAAAGAAAACATCACAGGCAAACCAATGCAATGTAGAATACATTCAAATGGTACTACAGCTAGTAAGTAATAAATGTTAAAATTAAAAATTCTGAAATTGTTCCATTTTGAGTAAAAATATAAGGAAACTCAATTTTTTTCCATGTAGTTGGCACCCCAGGACTCAAAAATTCATAAAACATAATTAAGACTTTATACCTTTCACATCAAAGACTATAAAAAACTTTGTGAAGTATTATCTACTATAAACTTTGAAAGTGATGTATATACATAAATTTATTTCAAAATTTTACATTTAAAAAACCATAAAGTTCTTAACTATTCAAAATTAACATAATGGAATCCCAAATAATCAAAAACCTTTTTTATATATATTTACAAGTTTTATAGCTACACTAAAATAGTACTGTAAAATATTTAAAATATTGTCCTCCTCAACCTCCAAAAATAGTCTTCATTTACATAGCTTTAATAATAAACACAATTTCTTAAAAACACTTGATAAAGACAAAAAAAAAAATTTCTTAAGTTATTGTGGAATGTGTGCAATAAACAACTCATCAAACTTATATTATATATATATAATTAAGCAACAAAATATGAAAATGAAATACAAAATCTAGTCAATTTTAATAGAAAAATAAAATTTTAAAATAAATAATGTACAGTAAACTAGCCTGAAAATGTTTGGTCCAAAAACAATACCAAGAGCTAATGGTCCCATTTTGTTTTGATCTTCATAGCTAGCAACTTCTTGCAAAAACTGTGAGAAGTACTTTAAAAGGTTGAAGTTTACAAAAGGCATATTTTCCAGCAGGCACTTCAACCTCCTTGCACATTCCTCTCGCCAAGTTCCACAAGCTGTGGGAAAACCAATTAAAAATTTAATAAAAGCCAGTCACTTACAAGAGGTCACTGATGTCAGAAGACTTGAAAGTTGTTATGTCTACTTATTAGATGTCTAGACAGTTCTTCAGCAAGTTGTAAGTGTGCTGTCTGCATTACAAGTTACTAATAAAAAGAAACTTGAACATACACACATCACGACAAATATCTTAAAACTACAACAAAAGGTTTTGCATTTTTTCTACTTTAGTAACTATATATATATATATATATATATATATATATA